GACGCCATTTTGTTTTTTACATTTTATTGCAAATATCTCAAAAACTATCAGGTTTATGAGGAAAAGTATAGGGATATTTTTTACTTAAAATGCAAATTTACATTTGTTGGGATGTATCAGCAACATGTATTTAAATAATTACTGACTTTTTCCAGTTTCATAAAAGAATATAGGTACCTACTACATTCAATTATAAGTAATATCATCACCATCATTTTCATATACGATGCACTAATTCCAGCAAATCATTCCTATGCATTGACTTATTTTGCAGAACATTTTAATTCAAGTTTTCTGCAGGAGCATGCCGTGTTGCATGTCCCTTCCTTGCAATTACAGAATACCATTTTTAGTATATCAGAGGGGGCAATTTCTTTTGTTACGGATATAGGCGCAAGATGTTCATCTCTATCTCGTTCCCATCCATAGAATAACGGATCTAACATATATCCCATCCACTCTTGTATCTTAAAATTACATACTATATCTAATGCAGGTTTTCATAACTAATCCTCGAAATAAGCTTACGGTGCATACTTGAGTAAATGCACTGTTCTACTTTTTTAAAGATTCCATTAAGTTACAATAACAGGCCCCAGGCCACTGGCGCCGAGTACATGGGGGCATTGGGGCAGGTGCTCCTATAAGCAACCTCTCATGGGTGCTCGGAGCTCTCGTGGGTATCATGTAATTCAAATTTACACAACTTTGTATAAGAATTATACAAGTTTATTAGTCTTAGATTAGGAAGGTATTAGTATTCTGTCCTTTTGTTATTTGTGGTCAGTTCTATACTCTATTACTTTATATTGCTAATGTTGCTATTTTCCATCTCCATCTCTATTCTTTGATAATAATCGGGACATGAGGCATTTTAGTACATAAAAGTACCAGGGTAACCTTAAATTGCATAATTATTCTACTTTTCCGCATACTAGTGCGAAGAAGTGATATTTTTCTGGCCTGAAATGCGTGCAGAAAGAAGCACTTTTCGCACGCTCGTAGAGAAAAATAAAAAAATATACAGGTCTGGCAAGCCAGCATCTTACAGGCCAATTTTAATGCAATAGAATGAAATGTATAGGAAGAGTCCAAGGTTAAATAGAGAACGAAAACGATTTCCCCTGTTCCACCTCCAGCATGCAGCGCTTGGAACGCTGGAGGTGGAACAAGGGAAATCGTTTCCGTTCTCTATTCAACCTTAGACTTTTTCTAGACGTTTCATTCTATTGCATTTAAATTGGCATGTAAGATGTTCACTTGCCAGACCGGTATACACTATAAAAAAATTTGATAATGTTGCTGATTTCTGAAAATTTTTTGAGTTGATCCGTTCGCTTGCATTTAATATGTGTGAATACTTTGCCTATATTTTTTGTTAGTACTGTTCTTCCAATTTTATCTGCTAAATCGCAGTTTATATCGGATTTAGCTATTCGTCCAGAGAAAACTGACATGAACTCCTAACTCCTTGCATTTACAAGGGTTGTATTTTGTCACGTTGCTGGCGTGAGCGACTCAATTCTATATGCTGTTCTGAAGTCACATACTTACATTCCAAAAGCTTTTGTAACAGGCATACAAACTGACATATAGTATTTTTAATACCTATTTAGAAGTACCAGTCGTTCTAGTGACAAAACGTATGTTGCTTCTTGACAAACAAATAAAATTAGGTTAGGAATTTCCTATCTGTACATGAAATTGACGTATTAGCAATCGACGTTCGTTTTTGTTGGTAATTTTTTGTTTCATCTGATTCGTGATTGATAAATAAGGATGGGGTTATTCTAAATGGGTATTACAAATACTATACCAGCAATCCATCTGGCCATAGAGAAATATAATAAACCAAGGTGAGAGTTACCGATTCTGTGGTGCGACACTGGCATCGCGATGACGTCATATCGATACTAGCGCCCCTATATACTACAAGATAAACTTAAATAATATTTGGCGGGCTTTTTGAATTTTTAAATTAAAGTTTTATTATTTTTCTAGCCAAGCGTTTTTCCGCAGTCGACAGAAAAAAAAATGCGGAGAAACGCTGGCCGGGAAAGAAAAATAAATAATCAAAAAATGTTCAGGAAGTAATCTATAGGCGATTTCGCCTCAGTTTGGTACCCCAGTTTGGTCTGTCAAACAGGAAACAGGTACCATTCTGGAGGTTTGGTAGCTTTCTGTTTCTTTTTCTCTCATGTCCAAATAAATATATCAAAGTCAAAATGTACCAAACAAAGTCTGGGGCGAAATCGCCTTATATATTTTGATCTTTGACATTTAACAAAGAATAATAAAAATTAAATTATATATAAATATAACTTTGTAACTAATAAAATGCAAAAAAATTACAACAAAAAAAAGCAAAAACAGTAGGTAATGGTAGGTTAATATTTAATTATCATTCTTTATGCATCAACTTAACGATTTTCACATTCTAAATCTTACCAGAATCATGTATTTTTAATAAACTAATCAATTTAGGTTCACTTATTTCTGTCTAGGGATGTCAATAACCGGTGGTTAAAACCACCTCTCTTCGGTTAACCGGTTAAAACCAGTTGTTTTTTGCTGCCAGTTATAACCGGATAACCGGGTTTTATACCTAATAACCGGTGAAAGTGTAACAAGTAGACTTTTCTCTCGTCTTTTTAATAAATTGTAAGATATTGAATAAGCAACAACAGTCGAATATTTCCACAGTTTTTAACCGATATTAGTGCCCATCTCTAGTATTACATTTCAGTTTCGGTTAATTCGTTCAGCAGCTGGTTGCTGGTTGTTTTCCATCTTTCTTTCCCTAATGAACAGGATTGAAAAAAACATATGCATGGTTGAGGTACACGTCAATGGGTACATATAGGGTACATGTTTAAATTGACACAAGAGAAATAATTAAGTTTAGAAAAGTATAGGTATTCTTTGATGCTTTTTCTAAGCATGTAATAGTTCCCGATTTTTCTCACAATAAAAAAATATGTTGGTATTTAACTTATGCTACATTATAGTATAAATTATGCAACTATTCTGATGAAACTCGGAAAAATAACCGAACAACCAATTAATCGGAATAACCGGTGTTTTATATCAGTTATAACCGGGCAGTTAAAACTGTTACTAAATTAACCGGTTAATGGAAAAACCGATGTTTTAATAAAAATTGACATCCCTATTTCTGTCAGTTTTGAAAAATGAAAATGTCAATTTATAGGTTAGAAATCGCAATGTAATAAATAAAAAACCCTATGTCCTCTTACTCCTCTCTTCCTTTATTATGATATCTCTTAAAAAGAGACAGATATAATGCAAGGCGATGTCAGAATTGTCAGAAAGTTCCAAGCTATACTAGCGCCACCATGGGCTACAAGAAATACGTTGCCACTTGGCGCATATGAATCGGTAACTCTTACCTTGGTTTATTATATTTCTCTATGCATCTCGCCAAAGACGAATTAGTAAATCCGCGTCCATGAGTTAGGCCACCAGTTGTGTTGATTGACTTCATCAAATTCTGCTCGATCACCATGCCGGCCCAAGTACCGGACCAAAAGTTGTTGGTTCTTCTTACAAGTGAACATTCCTTCATCAACAAATTTTTCATAGTTTTCACGACTCATACCTATTATGAAGTTTCTGAATCTGTTGTAGATAAAGGTGGGTACTTTAGGAATAATTATTATGACTTGTTGCGTAAAATATTGGGATCATCAATTTTAAACAGTAATTGTGAAGTTGCCTGATCTTCCTGCTCTAATAAACTGCAGCAGCCGGTCGAGACGATCATAATGGGTGTGTTTGTTTATTTGCACCAAAGTTACACCAAGCTACACCAGGTGCAGCAAAAAATCAGTCTGTCTCTGTCAGACTAACAAAAATATAGGGATTAAAATACATTTGGAGTATAAAGTGCCATATTGGTGCAAATAAACAAACAAAGCTATTGGCGGCCACTTTTTAGCAACTTGTCATTGTCAGAATCTACGGGACTTTTAGTATGTCATCTAGGGCCACATTATCTGTATGTTCCCACTCATAAACATTTGTATATAATTTTTTCAGAAGTTGGACCTAAATTCCGATAACTTGACTACACTATAATGAATTTATCACGAATCGACAAAACACATCCACATCAGGTCATAATTAACCTGGTTAATTATGATGAGACAAGCAATAAACGGATATAAATTGCGCCAAAGGCAGACTTGAACCAGTGCAATTACCTCTCGTTGGGAAAGTCCCTCTGGGTATCTTCAGCCTTATCGTTGTCCAGCGCCGATACCTCTCGTTGGGAAAGCTCCTCTGGACAAGGCATAAGGGTGACGATAACTAACCGACAGTCCCCCAAGCAGCGTTGACGTGTGGCTCCCCCTAGTGTTGGAAGGATCATGCATCCTACAGACTTGGCATATATGTAAAGGCATATTTGGGATAATATGTCTACACTTTTATACAACTTGAGAGAGTTTCTCTCCATCAACCCCCAAAACTACAAACCCCCATGTAACCTCCGTAAAACGGGCAGTTGTGACATATTGAATCAAAAAACATCTTGTTATCAAACTAGAGTTTCTCGTATATTTAGTTTTCAAAAATGTATACATTGATTTAGATAAACATCATTTTATTAACTGTTAATTAAGTAACACAAAGCTCAAAGTATCCCTTTTTATACACTACTACAAACAAGATTTTTGGGCCGTTTCTTTCAAAGCCGTTCAATCGAATGCACCATTATATTGCACAACTTTGAGATGAGCCCATAATAAATCAAGCAAATATACATAAAAGGACATTAACGGTTTCTTTGTTTGTGTTTCGATTCCGAGCGGAAGTATTCACGCTCACGAATTTATTGGGTTTACATGAATCCCTTTAAATAGGAATTTGTTTGTTCGAAATGATACGCACGTACCTGGGGAAACTGTATTCGTTATTCAAAAGGAAACTCGTGTCAGTATAGAGGAGAAATTTTACATTCGATTTGTTTTTTTTTTAAGGTATGAACCAGGCAGGCACGACCTGAAAACTTGTACATACAACAAAAATACTGGATACGTGATTTACTCAGCAATGGGCTCGTTTTTTATTCCAATGGTGGTCATGTTGTATGTTTATGTAAGCATATCTTGTGTTATTGCACAAAGACATGATCAATTGAGTCACATTAATACTTCTTATACCAGGGTGAGCAATAATAATTTCAATATGATTAATGTTAGTAAAAATTGATTACTTACTTATAGAAAAGTAAACATAATGGTTTAACTGGAGAGGAGTCAGATCTTGAAAAAAACTCCAATGAAACTGAAGAAGGAAATGCAAGGTGAGAGCATTTTTAATTATTTAACCTTAATAAAACTTACCTTTATATAAATTTCAGTGCACGTTCTCCAAATTTCTTGAGTGGCTGCAGGAACAATTTAATACCTGAAACGCCAAAACAAGCTGCCAATCCTGGAAGACTGCTTAAGGCCAACACCACTTACTCGTTCCCGAATCATAGACCGACAACTCCAGTTAAAAACTTATATAATTTCAGGTAATTTTTAAATGTAAATTAATGTAAATTTGTTTGGTTGAAAACTTTTGTTCGCTATAACTGTCACAATAAATTTATATTAATGAGTCAAAGCTTTTAGAGGTAAAATCCAATTTCCGTACAGAGGTTGACTCAATTATTTTTAACTTACTTGTTGCTAATCGACAATCAATTTTTTAAATAATTGAAATTTGAATTGCAAATAGGATGCAATCAGCAGCCGAATTTAAATTAAGCAAGTTTAAAGTCAAACACCTCAAGTTTAAATTGAGTTTTGCTTAAATTCTGCGAGAAATTTTGCCTAGAATATATAACTGGATTTTATAGTTAACATATTATACTGATTAATACAATTATTATTAATTAATTTAGGTCATCGTTACCAGCAAGACCGACCCTTGAATCTCAGGCTCAAGTCGATTTCACAATGGTAAATTACGAGCCAGCCTCTCGGGTATCGTCATTTAGAAGAGAAACCAAGACTGCACAAACACTCAGCATTGTAATGGGTAAATGGAATAATTTCATATCTCTAATTATCGATGCGCTGCTACATTTAGCTTTAATCAAGCCAATTTTCGGGCATAATTCCATACAAAGCCACTACAGTCAATTTAATGTTATTACAGAATTAATACATATTTATGGATTAATTTTTTTCAGGTGGCTTCATTCTTTGCTGGCTTCCATTTTTTATGATGTACCTGCTAACTCCGTTTATTCAAACCAACGACGAAAATCAGCTCGTAATGCAATATTTCATGTGGTTAGGATGGATCAATTCGGCCATCAATCCCTTCATCTACGCCTTTTACAGTCCAGATTTTAGGATAGCGTTCTGGAGATTGACTATCAGGCATTTTAAAAAAGGGGCGTCGGATCGGATGGAGTTTATCGAGCCCCAACAAAAACCAATCGAGTTGGGATGAAGGATTTGAACATATTGATGATATTGATGGACTTGTATTAAGTTGGTCCTTTTGAATTTCTGTATACAGACTTTTATGTATAAGTACCATTTTTGTTTGCTTGATATTCTAGTAAAGCAACTATAGTAAAATAAATAATATTTATTTATTTGTGTAACATTTTAAATATGTACAAATTAAGTGTAAGATTAAATAGAATCTTAAGAAAAAAACAATATTTTATTTAATGCAATGGTTAATAATTGATGGGTCTTGAACTACATAGAAATTTCTTATCAGTCAAAAGTGTTCTAAATACTGGTAGCTGAAAATTATACTAGAATATTTCACGACTGGAAACCAAGTGTTGGGTTCAAATAGTACATGGCTTGACGAGTCTTAAAAGCCTGGAATACAAATTTTTCTGGCCCTCTAGCGGCAATGATGACGTAATCATTATTGCCGCTTTATTTCTGGGACAAGATTCTACATTCCCCTATATAACTCGAGTTTGTATTTGGATATTATAACTTATATCACTATAGTGAATAATGATCAGGAGAAAACGCGCTTTCTAACAGTATATTGCAAGTTGTCAACTTTTTCAAAATTTATTAGATGAATTTTGTTAGTCATTGAATAACGCAACTTTTTTCCTATTTAAGCATTGCCGTATCTGTTACCGTTTACGAGATCCCTATCATGATAGACATTCTTATCCAGTGGCGTAACTTATTCAAATCCGGGGCCCCCCCTCCCCGCAAAGATTTTCCCGTGGCCCATCTTTTATATATATATACAGGGTGTATATTTTAAGTGATACCACTATGGCTATATCCGAAACGGTAAGAGCTTCAAGGTCGGATAAATTAGAAAAAAGTTGCCTTTTTTGATGCTCATTCAAGACTTGTTTACAGTGTTGCCAAAGTCCTTTTAGTTTATGAAATACAGGGCGATTTATAAAAAAGGCCTGAAATTATTTCGTCAATTATTTTGAAAACTATTGATATTCGGGACACAATTTAAATTTGATAGTTTTATAATTTTTTTGGCTCTACAACATGGCATCTTCAAATTTTAAATCCGACATTTCGTGATCGAGTTACCACCATCAACTTAATTTTTTTAAATACGGACCAGGATTTTTTATGTCATTTTTGGAAAGAGAATTAAGGGCGCTTCCTAAAAATGACATAAAAAATCCAGGTCCGTATTTAAAAAAATGAAGTTGATGATGGTACCTCGATCACGAAACGTCGGATTTAAAATTTGAAGATGCCGTGTTGTAGAGCGAAAAAAATTATAAAACTTTCAAATTTAAATTGTGTCTCAAAAATCAATAGTGTTCGAAATAAATGATGAAATATTTTTGGACGTTTCTTAGAAATCACCCTGTATTTCATAAACTAAAAGAAATTTGGCAACACTGTAAACGAGTCTTAAATGGGCAGCAAACAAGGCAACTTTTTTCTAATTTAACCGATCCTGTAGCTCTTACCGTTTCGGATATAGCAATAGTGGTATCACTTAAAATATACTACCCACAACGGCATTTGTTAACGGCTCGAGATAGAAATATATGCAATTCCGTACGTCGATAGGGTCAGAGGCGCCGACTTTTGAAAGTCCTCATGGGTGCAGAACTTTATAAATTTGTTTATAGGAGGAGGGGAAAGCTCGTCGTAGGCGGCAAATTTTTCCTACAAGCGTGCGAAAAGTGCTTTTTTCTGCACGCAGCACTCATTCAGGCACTAGTGCGGAAAACTAAAATAATTATGCAATGTTAAGTCACTGTGGTTTTTCATGTCCTGAAATGCGTGCGGAAACGTACCTACTTCTCCGCACGGTCGTAGAAAAATAACGTTCCTTAATCATGCGGAAAATCTCTTTTCCTACGAGCGTGCGCAAAGTAGTACTTTTCCGCACGCATTTCCGGGCTCAAAGTTACACTTTTCCGCACTCAGTGCGGATACAGGCCTTATCCGTACTGAGTGCCGAAAAGTAATTATAATTGTCAAGCAACAATAAGTGCACCTGTCGACTTTGACACATGATGACAAATTTTTCCTCTATTTCTATATCAGCCAACATCTATACAAACACCAATTATAAATTAACTTTGACACATCAGATTTGTTCTCTATTCATATGCAAAAATCTACAAACTTTCTCATCAAATTTAAACGCTTTAAGATGAACAGCTCTGACGAGGATTTTCTGTTCTTTTTTTTTGTTATGTAATTTTTTGATAAATGCATAGGTTCCCTTCAAGTTAATTAAAAATAATTAAACAAATTATCGTTTTTTTTTTTAAAAAATTTTGTTATTACCTACCTGATATGAAGCTCGTAGGAAAAATTTAGTTCCTAACACGTGCGCAAAGTGTCTTTTCCGCACGCAAACACGTATCCGAACTCCGCTTCGCGTCGTTCGTATAACTGTGTTTGCGTGCGGAAAAGTAACACTTTGCGCACTTGTTAGGAAAATAACTATTTCCTACGAGCGTGCGCAAAGTAGTACTTTTCCGCACGCATTTCCGGGCTCAAAATTACACTTTTCCGACAATTATAATTACTTTTCGGCACTCAGTGCGGATAAGGCCTGTATCCGCACTGAGTGCCGAAAAGTAATTATAATTGTCAAGCAACAATAAGTGCACCTTTCGACTTTGACACATGATGACAAATTTTTCCTCTGTTTCTATATCAGCCAACATCTATACAAACACCAAATATAAATTAACTTTGACACATTGTCAGATTTGTTCTCTATTTATTTGCAAAAATCTACAACTTTCTCATCAAATTTAAACGCTTTAAGATGAACAGTTCTGACGAGGATTTTCTGTAAATTTTTTTTGTTATGTCGTTTTTTTTTTTTAATTTTTGTTATTACATACCTAATATTATGAAGCTCGTAGGAAAAATTTTGTTCCTAACACGTGCGCAAAGTGTCTTTTCCGCACGCAAACACAATACGAACGACGCGAAGCGGAGTTCGGATACATAAAAAGTAAAACTTTGCGCACTTGTTAGGAAAATAACTATTTCCTCATTTAGTTGTTACGCACACGCCCTAATTGATGTTTTGTTTCATTTTAGCCGCCTCTGTCAACTGTCAGACTGTCACTGTCAACCAATGAAATATTGGCTATGTTCCGATATCAACTGCCAGTTCTGGATTTACTGTTATTTGCCATTTCGATTTCAACAGCGTACTCTTGTGGTCATTCGGAGTCAGAATCGACTAAATCCAGTGTACTGAAAATAATATCGTAACGGCAGGGACGTAGCAACAGGTCGTGCAAGTGGTGCCGCGTATAAGGGCCCGGGCCCCGAAGGGGCCCTACGTGTCCTGCTGCTTTTTGGACACAATATACAATACACAATATTAGGCAATTCAAACCACGTGACATTCAAGATGGCGTGGCGGCCACACATAGACCAAAAAACACACAAAAATATCTAATTTCTGCCAGATTTGATAGTTTAGGTACGTAGTCAACAAATAGTTTATTAAATAATCAAAATTAAAATTGCAAGCAAAATTCCAAGCGAAATAATTTAAAATACGCATAAAAACATATTCAAAACAGACTTGCTTGGCCGCCACGCCATATTGAATTTTCCTTTTTGACAGATGGATTGAATTGCCTAATACGCTTTGGCAATTTTAAACCGAAACAGAAAACTGTAATATCGATATCTACAGATTTCTTTTCAGTCAGTACTCCGACTCCTAGTACTCGTACTACTCGTGTCAATATTGTCAATTGTCAATCTCAGTTGTGTATTAGCTCTCAAAAATGTCTATTTTACAGACCCATTTCAGTTCGAAATTTTCGGCCTAGTCCCTAAAAGTCGTCAGAAAAAAAATTATCTGCTGCTCTTGCCACAACAATGCCAATGCGTAATCAGTTTCAAATTTTTAATGTCACATTTACTTCACATTTTTGTCAACGGAATTCAATTAATTTTTGGAGTTTTTTAGACTCATCAAAAATAGTATATTGCGTGATGAGGAGTCTGGAAAGTACTGTTTTTTTGGACGAGTAGACAAGATTCCAGTCTGCGAGTCGGAGAAAACATTTTCCGGGAGTATTACGCATAGGTACCTACTATGTTTTGGCCTTAAAGAACATACTTTTCAGACTAGGCCGGAAAGTATATTATCACTTCTTGGCCTAAGTAATTACATCTCGGCCTAGGCTTAAAAAGGCATACTTTCTTAAGTAAAACGCGTTCAAAAAGTATGTACTTTCAGAACGGTCGCCGAAAAGCCTCATTTTAGGGTACCTACTTGTTACAAAAATAGCTATCGTCTGTTAACCTTCCAAAAATTTCTCGCCTACGAATTTGCCATGAGCTATTTTGCCCATAAACCCCCCCAAACAGTCAATGAATTTGAAAATTTGAACTTTCCGATGCCCATGGGGGTCTTGCACCAAGGCCCGGTTTTGACTTGCTACATCCCTGCATAACGGCATCCAGTAAATTCAGTACTGACAGTTGATATCGGAACCTAGCCATTATTATAAAAGTTCCAATATATGGGAACAGTTATTTTCCTAACAAGTGCGGAAAGTATCATTTTCCCGCACGCGATTGTCGTTAGCCGAACGACGCGAAGCGGAGTTCGGATAGCAATAATCGAGTGCGGAAAAATTACTTTCCTCAACACAATTTTTCCTACGAGCAGACAATAATAAACAAATATGAATCTATATTGAGCAATTAACAACATTTTTTATTGACAACTTCAATGGTGAATTTACAATTTTCAGCAGATTGTAAATTTATCGCTGATGCAAACTGACGATTAAGCACATAATGATGGTATTAACCATCAGATTCCTCCCCAAAGTTTCTACTGTCTACTTTTAGTGATTACTTCGAAGATAACGGGTCTTCACAAAAAATTAAACAAATCAAAGATTTCTATGGTTTTTGAAACGTATGTCTTACAGATCTGTTGTACTGAGTATTTCAAATACTTGAAGTAAATACTTAAGTACAAAAATATACTTAAGTATCTGACTTAAGTACTAATCCAAACATTGGTACTTGTACTTGGAGTTTCAAGTTTTTCAAATTTTACTTGTACTTAATACTTAAAATATCAGTCAAGTATATTTTACTTGAAAGCTTTTGAAAATTTGTACTTGAGTGATATTAAATTACTTAAGTACCAGTGGA